AAGAGATGCATAAATTAATTTGTTTTCCAAAAATTTTATTTAGATTTGATTGCGCAGGGGTTTTTTTTTCTCTCTGCAGCTCTTGCTGATCTTTTTATGACATTTTTTTTCAGTGTAAGCTACGATTTAATGCAAAACATTTTGATATATAAGAATCATGTGGGAATATTTTTGAAACAAAAATGCTTCGGGAGATCGTAGATTCTGAGAGAAATGTCCGACAATGTCCTCCACCGGTCGTCATACACAAAATTGAAATAAGCAGATGAAAGGAAAGGGGGGGGGTATTTTACTTCACGTTTACATTAAAATGTAGAGTAACCAAACGGGGATACAACACTCACTCACAGATGCCTCATCCCACCTTTGAGTTTTTTTTCTTTTTCGCTTTCTTAATTTTTTTTGTAAACTTGTATACATACGGTTTTTAATTCATCAACAAGTAACGAAATGACGCACATAGGTGTTGGTTGATTATAAATCTACCCCCACGGAATACGATTTTCCGTTTTTTTTTTTTTTGTTTTTGTTTTTTTAGGGGGGGGGGTTCAAAGTAATACTTTGTGAACTGCCCCACTCCCTCCTTTCTAAAATTTTTGAATCCGACATTAATACCTTTACGTTGTAGAATTTTATTTTTAATTCACCTCAATTTTTGAGTAATTACGAACAGTTCTATGGCGAATTGAACGATTGGTATGTCTGTATACGGATACAGCTTTCCGTCATCGCTAAAAATAAACCGTACTGTATCGTTGATATTTTGCAGATACAGTACAGTTTCTGCTCATTTGCATAAGAAACGCCCACAAAAAGTGTTCTGTATCGCAGTTACAGTATGCTTGACTTCAAAGGAAAACTCGCCGGGTCATGTCACAATTTCATTACACTAGATAGTCTTGGGTTTGTCAACTTCAGGTCTAGATCTAGTAAATAAAAGGTGCCTACATATTTTCTCTTATTCCAGAAATATATTGCCATTAAGCATTATAAACCAAAAAATATATGAATTGAATCAAGATTATGTTGGCATGATTGAATTCTGTGAATTTCAAAATGCAGTATTTTCTACCATTTTTATTGAAGCTGTCAAGTACGGGAAAAAGTGGCATTGAATTAATTATGACGTCTTAATGGGTTAGCACAGGTTTAACACATTTACAAGTTATGATGTCATGCGAAGTAGGTTCTACGTTAATACCCCAAATATGTTATTTTTTAGTGCAAAAAGGTCACACAATAATTTACGCGCATTAATTTGCAAGATTTGTTTAATGATAAATATTATTCAAACTATTTTACGTAAAATAGATTATATTTATTGCCATGCTTACATATGATCAAATATAATAAGGGTTAAAGTAATTAACCAAAGAGATGAAATTTAAGTGCAAAAAGGTCAACTTAAATGTACCGTAGATCAGTAGGATGCACACTGACCCCCTATTTTCTTTGCGATTTTGAGTTACACTTTATGAGTACTTATCCAAAATATACTTCTCAAAAAATCTTTGATTTAACAAATTTCAGGTGTGACTTACCTTAAAGGTATGTATGACTTGATCAATTTCCTTTCATTTACGGAAAGAGAAATAAAACTATCCAGGTTGGAGAATTCTAAAGAAAAATTCGATTTAAAAATAAAAATGTCATATCTATCAAAATGAAGGCAAGAGGCTGGAATAAGTATTGAATTTGAGTTGTGGAAGGATATAGATTGATTGATTGTATATTGTTTAACGTCCCTCTTGAGAATTTTTCACTCATATGGAGACGCCACCACTTGCTGGTGGAGAGCTACACATTTTTCGTGCAAACACCTACTGCGACACGGGACCACAGTTTATACGGTCTCATACGAAGGACCGCTCTTCACGTCCCACAGAAATGTAAGAATCAACTTCTTACTTTGCGACTCTAGAGAAGACGCTATAAACACTGCACCACGCAGTCGACGGAAGGATATAGATGAAACATCTTCAAAGAACTATATTCGGTGTATTGCATATCTTTGCTAGATCTCTACCACAAAAAATAAATTAAAAAAAAAATAAAAATGTGTTGAATTGTATAAATTGTATGAAAAATATAAATTAACAAACATAATTATTATAGTTTCAAAAAGATTATTGTCAATTTTTGTTTTAATGACGTTACAAACTAGTATTATTATACCCCCGCTTGAAAAGCGGGGGGTATATAGTAATCGTTAATTCCGTCCGTCTGTACGTCCGTCCGTCTAGCTGTCTTTTTGTCCATCTGTTACGCTTTGGGGTACCCATCTCTTATCCGCAACTCCTCTCATACCATTGAATGAAATTTGATGAAACTTTCACAGAATCTTTATTACATATTGCCATTGTGCACTTCTTATTTTACTTTTTGATCCGACATATATTTTGGGTTTCCTGGCCACAGCAAAACATGGACTTTGCCATTATAAATATATGGAGGCGGGGGGTATCATTTAGTGAGCTCATCGCTCACAGTACCTCTAGTTTTGCATTATTTTCTAGATAAAGGACAAAATATAGACAAAAATTCAAACAATTTTAGCTATAGAATTTATAGAGCACAGGTCTGCTTAGGAACTGTATATGCATATTTAATTAAAATTATCAATTTAAATATTATATCAAAATATTGAGCCTGAGCAGACCTGCGCTCGTTAATTTTTACTCAAAATATCAACCCAATATTTACACTTTTCTGTAGAAATCATGCAAATTTTAAATTTATTTCACTTTCAGGACATACGTCATTTCAAACATAAGACTTCATATCTAATTAAAATAATCATTGCAAGCCGAAGATTTAAACTGTGTATTCCTGTGGACGCTTGATGCAAGACTCCCTATGTGATATTGCTATTTTTTGGTTATTTTGTTTTTCCTCACAAAATTCACCTGGCTTGGTATATTTTTCTAAAGTTTATAAAACACTTTTAGCACTTTGCGGTGTTAATTTCGGTGGGTGGCCTTGCTGTAGCAGCGGTACCCCTGGTCGTGTCGACAATGGGTTTCTCCAGCGGGGGGGGGGGGGGGTTGTTGGAGGCTCCAT